AATCTGTCAGTCCTGCTGCTCCTAATGAAGGAAGGGCAGGACTCTGTAAACTGGAAATGTTTGGGCTCAATCAGGATGACTTTCCGGGGGAAATATATTAAGTGCTGTGTGTTGTACTGAATTAAATAATGAATTGGAAGAGTGCTTGCTAGTGGGCTGGTGCAGATAATTTGGGGTACATTAAAGCCCAATAAAATGGGGAACCTATCTAAAAGCTGTTAGTCTTTGGGATCACGGCAACAGTAGGCCTCTGATTACAACCAGGGAGGCACCCCCCTCCCCATATTGGTGAAATTATTAAGGCCACTCCACTTAGTTAAAAGGGAGGTTTATTTTGTGGGGTAACTTACAAATGAAAGGATAGTTAACAGGGTCTGGAAAAGGTGTGGGGCAGTCCGGAGGTATTCTCTGTTGAAATCTGCTCGGTCTACCTCCAGCATCAAGGGTCCAGGAACCAAGAGAGCTGGTGCATCTGGATCTCGGGTCTTCAGGGTCCTCCCTTGGCCCCGCCTTGTAGCCGTGACAGTTACTGAAGCCTCAATGGGGGTTGGAACTTCCAGATCAAAGCTGGAATGGCTACCTAATACATGCCCCCTCCCCTCAAAAAACAGCTTTAGGGCCTGAAGATCTTTTATATAATTTTGTTTTGCTTTCATTGGGACAAACACTTAGGGTGTTAGCCACGATCCTTCATTTCTCCTGCCACTGTGGCATATTTGTGTCCATCTCTTTCTGATGGCCCCTACTGTTGCCGGAAAGCTTAGCTTCTGGTGTTATTTTTAGCTTGCAAAAAATAGACTTTGTGGTTTAAAGACAGGTGAGGGTGAGGCTGATTTTCAAGTTTGGGGCTCAACTTTCTTCGAGTAGAGTAGTGGGAAGATGGCGTTTGGCTTCTAGGAAATGACCTTTACTGGTGAAGTAAGAGGACGGGAATGAAAGTAGAGCTGGTGTAGCAGCCAATGTTAGTTTGCATTTCTTACTTGTCAGCCATGCTCAATGCAAAGTCTACATGTTAATGGAGAAAATGGCAGTCAAGTGCAGGCGCAGTGGCTTTCGGTTTTACAGACGAGAAAGTGCTAGGTGACTTGTCCATTCCAGTACCCACCGGAGCTTGGTTCAATGCCAGTGTCTCATTCTGGTTCCTGTGCCCTCTGCCCCACTACTGTGCTGCCTTCTGGGCAACTGGATGTTGAATAGTAACAGCGTACTTCTTGGAAAGGGGAAAAAAACTATTTGGGACTGCTCCAAGAGGAGATGCTGATTCACCTCAGCCAGAGGGCCGTCAGTGTAACAGTGGGCGTCCCTGAGAATAGCAAGACAATAAAAGTGTTGTAAGAGGTATATGATGCCATTCAGTGATAATGATAACAAGGAAATACAAGATGGGCTGCTTGTAGTCAAGGAAAACTATTTGATCAATGAAATAAGGAGATTGAAATATACACATGCACACATGTACACAGGTGCATGCACACATGCATGTGGACACACACATACACACAGGCACATACAGGTGCATGCACATACATAACACATGCACATGCAGTTTGTGAAGGAAAAACGTCTTTGTGCAATTCTGAAGAATTATGCTTAGTCCTTTTGAGACGAGGGTATGAAATCCACAAGCCCCCGGGGCTCTGTGTGGAGCTGAGCGCAGACCAAGCAGAGCTCTTGGGAAACTCTTTTGAGAAAGCAGACAGCAGCTGAGCCTAAGAAGGTTTGATTGGCAACTGTTCTGCTCATCACAGGAAGTCGGGCGACACTTCTCAAAGTCATTTGTAACTTTGCAGTTGGTGGCTAATCCTCTTACTTTTCCATCCCTTTCGGTGTGAGTCTTTGGGTGATTTGGAGTTTTCTTTGGAGGCTCACGTTCAGAGGCAGGTGTTTGCTTTTTACTTCCTATCTCTGTTTAGTTTTCTTACAGAGCAGCTTAAGAGTTACCAGACAAGAGCAGTGTTTGCTGTAAGTGTGAAGACTTCCGTGCTGGAAGACACCCCTGAGATACTGGGAGGTTGGCCTGTTTGCCAGACAGAGCCTTTCTAGGTTTCTACCAGACATAGCAAGCCACAGTTCTGCAGCCATAGCCTCAGGCAGTGGTCATCCCCACCCTGTCCGAACCATCCTTTCTCCTGTTAAGAGGGCACTGGTGCCAGTACAGCCTCCTACCAGCAGGGGGTGTGTTCGTCCCTCATTATTAGATGAGGGCAACCTGGATTCCTCCACTCCTTCTAAGACCTGGAGACAGGCTGCCCCAGACCTTTACCTCACCTTTGACACTTCGTGTTTTGTCGAAGGGCCAAGAAGATATGTCTTTCTCACCTCTTTGGTCTGTCATTGCTGTGTTCAGGGTAAAATCAGATGTTGTAAGGGTAAACTAGTGTAACTATTCCCAAAGGAAACGGAGACATTGACCAGCTGAAATAAGAACAATTTCTTACTTAAGTCTAGAGATGGAAAAGACCATCTCTCAGTGAAGTTTTGGGGAAGCCTGTCTCCAGCCTGTTTTCTTCTCTGGATGAGTTGTTGAATTTGAATCTGAGTTCTACTGCATATCTACAGATCTGGTTTTTCTCTGTGCTGTTTGTGTCTGCCTTGAGCATTCTGAATGCTTGTGCCCTCATTGGTGACTTCCACATGCTTTCTGAAGTTTCCTAGTGCTTTTAGCCCTCACTGTGTTTACAGTGCTTTTAGCAGGTACCCAAACGATATCCAACACAGCTGTGAGAACCGGTTTAGCGCATGGAACACTTGACTGGGACTGTGTGCAAGAAGAGCTCAAGAAACCCAGGTCACAATCTAAGGGTGGTGTGCCTTTCTAGAAAGTGAACCTGTGTCTGGGCTTCCATGGTAGGTGGCGAGGCTTACATCCTGGGAAGGGGTCGCTGGAGGAGAAGGGATTTTAGACGAAGTTAAAGTTGGAACTACGCTTGCTCTGCTTTTGCATTTGCTGTGGAAAAATCCCGAGGTCTTTCTGGGTCTAGGTGAAAATCTGCAGGTCATCTGGATTTGATTCAACAACCCCTCCCCTCTTTTCTGTTTTCTTTTTGTGAGGTAGGAGTTACTGTCACTCTGTTGCCAGGCTGGTCTTGAACTACTGGGTTCAAGCAATTCCCCTGCCTCAGGCTCCTGGGTAAATGGGGCTACGGACGAGTGCTACCATGCCTGACTGTGAGTCATCTGTTTCTGACTCTCTCTAGTTCCAGAGTTGCCAGAATCACATATTTCTGCCTCTAAGTTAGTCATGCCGTTTCTAGAACTGAGTTTGGTATTAGCGATTTGTTTAGTAATTCTGCGGTGCTAGGAACTCCACATGGGGATTTGGGCATGCCCAGCAGGTGATTTACCATTGAGCTATATCCAAGATACCTCCTTATTTTATTTTTTTCTTGAGAGAGGGTCTTACACATTGCCTAGGTTAGTCTCACTTGCCATCTTCCTTCCTCAGCCTCCCGAGGAGTTCAGAATTGTAGGCATGTGCCAGCAGGCCCAGTTACACTCACCTCTTAATGAAAACTTGTTACCTTGCAGTAGTGATGAGACTATCCTCACTGGTGTTAGTCTTATCTAATTATGAATGGCAGTTCTAATGTATGAATGGCGTGACACTAATGCCACTCACCATTCAACTCTCTTATAAAGTGGAAACTAAAATTAAACTATCTTATAGAGTCTTTTTATGTTAACATATTATTAATGGCTTCATCCTGGCATTTTTTTTTAATTTTAATAACGTGATTTGTTATTGCTCGGGGATAGCATGGAGATTATAATCAGTGTACCATCTTTTATTGGTGTGAACTCTGAGGGCAGCCATTTTGTTTTATCTAGCATAGCCCAACTCATTAATCTCTGTATTTCAGATGCTCTGCTCTGTTGTGCATGTAGTTGGCAGTGTTCATTAAATGCACTGCTAGCATGCTGTTTTAAAAAATCACGACACTCATACAAGTATAAAGATGTGCCACTATTTTGCTGAGCTCTTGAATGAACCAGTGAGGTAATAAAGCTCCTTTATCAGAGAATAGGCCAAGGATTATATAGTTTATAGCAAGACTTTCTTTTCTAAGCTTGAGACAAAATTGGTTAGTATGCAATAGGGGAACTGAAGCCATCACTTTTAAAGTAGCTCTTCATGACATGTGTAGTTCCACTGTGAAAGTCATAGCTGAAAACGGGAGAACAATGGAACATGGGTCTGTGTGACATCATAAAGATTTATAAGTTTCTTTTTGCTATCTTTGAGTTTGGAACTGTTTGTCTAAAATATAATATAGCTATATTCAAAGCATTATTTCTCCTAGAACAAAGATTAAGTGGGACATGTGATTCTAGTGTGCAAGTGTGTACTCTCTGCCTAAATTTATATTAGACACTAAGTCCACACATAATTATGTTTTCATAGTGAATCATTAAAGAGAATTTAGGAACAGTTAAGAAAACACTATGAATTTCCAAAATGATGGTATGGAGGGTTGTCTTCTAATGAGTGTCTGCATGGGCCATAGGCAAAGTTCTGGTCTTCATATGTATTGCAGTTTAAGCTGTAAATGGTCCTGTGAGGTGGGTATCATTATCTCATTTTGAAAATCAGATGAATAAGTCTCTGTGAAGTTATGCAGTTTAATCAAGGTTCTGCAGTCTGTCTGAGCCAGCATTGAAATTTAGTCTGTTTCTGAGTTTTGTATTCTCTCTGATGCTGTGTTATATTACCCCTTAAATAGCCTTAAATTCTCCTAAATTTTAAAATACATATCTAGATAAACATGTAGATGAATGGGTCCCAATTTGCTTATATAATAGTTCATGCACAAAGCGGTCTTTTTCCTATGAAGGGGTTGGCCATTTTGAAACCACTTGAAGTAAGTTGGCTTTTTGTTTCCTGATTGCTAGATTAAGCATGTGTTTTAAGTATTCTGACCTTTCCAGCCTCCTCCTGTAAGTGCCTTCTTGGTGACTTATTGTCTTTCTTTTCTCTCTTCTGGTCCCCAATGTGTCTGTAGGTGGGCTGGATCCTCTCCATCCTGGATGAGCTTCAGCTGAGTCCACAGCCTCCTGTGGGGGTCCTTCCATTGGGGACTGGGAATGACCTGGCTCGGACACTCAACTGGGGAGGGGTAAGAAGTGGAGGTGGCTGCCCCTGCAATGGAGGAGCAAACCGTACTCCCAGGTCACTCTGTGCTCACTGCTAGAAGCAGTAAGCCACGGCAGTCCAGGGACAAGTTAGACTTGGGACTTGAACTGCCTGTTTACTTGTAGCTTCTTCAGTTTAGACTTAGAATCAGCCAGGGAGGGGGAGGTTGGGTATGAGACAAACACATGGTTTGTACACAGACAGCATGATTGTTGAGGTATCCACTGGGACATCCTGGGTGGGTTGGCCTCAAGTGGTCATGTGAAACAATCTTGCAAATTTGCATTCATCCTGATCCTTAGCCCTGGCCATAATTGCAAATCTGGTTTAGATTTCAGACCTATTGCTTGAGACAGGCCCTACTTTTTTTGAACATGGAGATTTTCTGATGGTTGTTATTGTAGCTTGGATGATACTATTGCCCTTCCTATGCTGGACCATTCTCTGGAAGTTGTGAGGGAAGTCCCCTCCTGTCACTAACTGGCCATTTTATATGTCTGTTTATCTTAGTGTACTAAGATTTAGAAGCCACATGATACTAACATGCCTAACCCAGGAATTATTGGCATAAAGGCTGCTGGGGCAGGAATTTTTCTTCAGTGATACAGTCCCTGGTAAACAGCTCAGGCTCCAGTTAATAACCTCACGTCCATGATCATCCAAGAAATTCTAATTAAACTCAATGGACCATTAAAAAAAAGACATGAAAATTGGCAAAGGGCTTGGGGAGAAGAAGAGGTCAGAGGGAGTGAAAGGGGAAGAGCAGAGGGAAGTAGGGGGTGAGTATGATCAAAATGCATTTTATACATGTATGTGATTGTGGGAGAATACATTAAAATATTTTTAAAAGATACTAACATGTCTGCTTGCCAACTTCCTAGACCCTCTTACCAGGTCATTTCCTGGCCTCCGTTTTTTAGGGCAGTGACCTTCAGATTCATAGCAGACATTGATCCAGCTTGTAGCAGAATTAATCTATCGAAGTATTGTTTGTTGTTATATTTTTCTTTACTCCCCCCCCCCCTTTTAAGTAGCTGAAATAAAACCAAGGGCACTTACATGAAACAACTAAACTCTCACTCATGTCAACTGCTCCTATCCAAATCCAGTGCGTGACCGCCTTGACTAATCATGCCGTCACTAACAGCTCTCTGGGAGAACGCTGCTCTCATCAGCCCTGCTCCTCGGGCTGACTTGCCTCAGGCCTCAGATTGGTGACCTCCCAACACAAGATCAAGGACTGGTGAATGAGAGAGGATCTTCAGTTTTCCTTTGTGCTCCCTCCCTTTCCCACACACACTTGTGTATGACCCCAAATTCCAACAACGAGAGGGAATCTTGCTGTTCACTCCAGTAAAAGCACCAATCCGGCACACGCCCACTAGTTGTTGGGCAGGTTGTTCCTCAGCTCAGATCAGGCAAAGTTGGTGCTTATGTGCACTTTCTTTTAAGCATTAACGTACCAAGAAGGGGAAACACAGTTCACTCTTCCAGCCTTTATGATTTAAAACCAGCAGGACTATGGCCGCCTCTGCCTTGCCTTGCTGTGGCATTGACTGTGGCTTTCTGATTCAGACAGTGAGGGTCTGTGCTCTGATTCCGTCCTCAGGGCTACACCGATGAGCCTGTTTCTAAGATCCTGTGCCAGGTCGAAGATGGCACCATTGTACAGTTGGACCGCTGGAACCTTCATGTGGAGAGAAACCCGGACTTGCCCCCTGAAGAACTTGAAGATGGCGTGTGTAAGGTTAGACAGTTCCTCCTTTGAGGGCTGGAGAGGTAGTAGGCAGCTAGGCACACTCACTGGTCCTGCAGAGGCACTGGAGTTCAGTTCCCAGCACTTGTGTTGGGTGACTCACAGTTGCCTGAAACTCCAGCTACAGGGGATCTGACACCCTCTTCTGACCTCTGTAGACACTTGCATATATGTGCACTCACACATATGTATACAAATAAATAAAAATAGCAAGAGATAGAGAGGGTGGAGGGGAAGAGATATTCTTTTTCTGCTGATGGAGCACTGGGCAGTGACATGAGCGATAAGACACACATTCCTCAAGACACACTCGTGGCTTCTGCCTTCTAAAAGATAACAGGATAGCTTTGGGACTCTGGCTCTTAAGGTTTCAAGTATACTGTCACCATCTCCCTCCCTGTTCCTGCTCCACAGACCCTTCAGGATTCAGATATTATTCTTATTCCAGAGCTCAGGGACCTGTTCTCTGTCTTCAGCTCCACACTGGGAAAGCATGTAAACATTTGTTAATCTCTTGAGCTAGATACAAACAGCGTATGAGAAGATGGAGTATATGTATGTGCCCAAGCATTAGGTACACGATCTTCCAGCAGGAGGAAACCCTCAGACCTTGCTGGCCTGACATTAAACCTCCCTTTTGTGTAGCCAGTTGCCTCATCTGCTTGGGACTTGAAATGGTCTAAATAAGTATGTCTTGGGATTTTTCTTTGGTGACTGAGCATTTATGGTAAAGACAACCTAAGCCAAACCAAGGCTATCATTGCAAGTAAACTACTGTGCAGCCTTACTTCAGCACCTGAATCTAAGTTCTGACCTGCATCTCCGATTAACTTGGTATGTGACTGAGTAGAAAGGCCCTCCATGTAACTTCTTGCTTTTCTTCTGTGATAATGTGCCCTCCATTGCGTAGGCTTAAGAGTCTCCTGGTACACTTGTTAGAATGAAGATTATGTCTCTCTCTAGAGATTTGAAATAAGTTAATGTAGGGGTAAGGCCCCTGCACCTGCACTTCAAGTAAAATCCTTGCTAGTTTGGATCCATCCATTGAGCCCAAGTTATTGTTCACCACAGTCCTGAATGATTATGTTAGACACTCAAGCGTCTTGTTTGGCTTAAACATCTCTCCTCATCTCCACTGTTTTCCACCTAAACTCCACTCCTGAAATTAATAAATCTTCTATTAGACATCAGGATTGCTCACATGAAGTTGAGTTCACAATTGAACATTGTTTAAACATAAACACATGTGATACTTTTAACTGTTTATTTGACTTAATTGAGATTGGATAGAAAAACCATCAAAGTAGAAGGAAGGGGGGCTTTCTACTGAAATGGAAAAATTTAGGCCATTCTGCTAAATGTGGACTGGCAAGGCCTACAATTGAACTCTTTCCCCAAAAGCTTGAGAAATGGAAAGACATCTTGATGCAGCCAGAGAACACCAATCCAGATAATTAAAGGGCTTTGGGAATGGGGTTTGGGGATCTGTAGAAAATTGGGGCACATTTTCCTGGAAAATGTGAATATCTTAAAAACAGACTAAATTGGAATATTGCTTAGGGAATTGTGACCAGATGTTTTCCTTAGCTATCAGTGGCTGCTAAGACATGGGTTAGAATTGTAGCCAAAGTAATATAAATGGTAGAACGTTTCTGTGCTCTTGGCACGATCACCGTGCTGTCCTTACAGGGGCTGGGGTTTTGTTTAAATGCAGGGACTGGACAGTCTCAAATACGAAGCCAAGAGACTTAGACATGGTTTTGGCATGGCTGTGTAGCTTGAGTTTTTCTCTACTCTGGGGTTTGTTGAAACCAATTCTAAGGGCCAATGCAACCCCTGACCCATCAAGGCTCAGTCTCAGGGGCTTCGATGCAGGGGTCATCCTTTCTTTTCATCCGAGACAGAAAGCAAGGCTGTCCTCCTCTGCTCTCTCTTTTAATGGGACAATATTTCTCCCTTTAGCTTACCAGGAGATCTTCCTGATCATTTAGAAGTATGTGACACACTCTTAACAAATGACTTTGGAACTTTTAAGACTTCAACATTTACTTCTAATAACAAAAGGGTACAGTTCAGTTTGGGCCAGAAACCTGACAATTGTCTAGGGACATTGCCTCTTTTAATGAAGTATTTATCTTGCGTCCTGAGCCATGGAAAGAAATGTGGGGGAAGTGTCCTTTCCTTTCTTGCACTTTCTGTGTGCTTCTCTGGTTGTTCTAATATTGAACGGGAGCTTTCAGATGACAACATGTTTGCAATTTCAGTGGGGCCTCTCAGGCTTCACGGCCTTCCTTCTTGCTGGCTCACAAGGAAAGTCAGGGTCAGAGCACAGGAGAAAAAGCTAGAGCTAACATGTGCTCTCTATGGTTGGTGTGGTTGTCCTATTAAAGATACAGGTTCAACCAATTAAGCGGGAATCTGAATTATATGTCTTTATATATTTTTCATATATATATATATCACATTATATATGTATATATATGGCTGTTGCTTCCTTTTTCTATCAGCAATGACTGATACAAATCAAATTGACTCTCACTGCTTTATTTCTTATATGAGATTTGTGAAAACAAAACAAAAAAAAAACCTTAAAAAATAGATTACATGTTTATTTTAGGCTGCAGTATTTATGTGTGGGATATAAAACTCTTGAAAAGGGGCACATCCACTGATTAGGGAAATTGGACTGGATCTAGCAATATGTAATATATATATATATATATATATATATATATACATATATATATTATATAATTCACGGAATCAATCTCTCTTTGTCACAAGATTATTACAAGTGAGCGCCCCCCAGCTTCTGTCACTGCACTGTGCACAAGAATGGCTCTTGCTTAGTCATTTGTGCTGAGTCCCTTGTTTCCTTATGATTTATGAATTGTGAGATTTCTTGATCTGAGCTTTCACTAATGAGTTAATTCAGGAGCCCCTGTGTCTTATTTATAAACACGCTCTACGGCGAGGTAGGACTGATCAGTCCCACAGGCTGCCCCAGAGATAGGGTCTGGCCTTGGGGTCTAAGTTGGTGTCTTCTACTTGGCTGTGAACAATGTCACCTTCATATTCTTCTATCTTGCAGCTTCCTCTGAATGTCTTCAACAATTACTTCAGCCTCGGATTTGATGCCCACGTCACTCTGGAGTTCCACGAATCCCGAGGTGAGGACATGTCCCATTTCTGTCTCCCTGGGAGGAAGCTTCCAGCCATGTTCTACCCATTCCCCTTTGCCTGCACATCACCTGCATGCCTGCACTATGTCCTCTTGCTCTCCTTCATGATGGCCCTGGGAGCTGGACCAGAGGGGAGCTTGCTGTAAATAGGGACCTCAGACCTAGCTGTCTATAAGCTCAAGGGCAGGGACAGAGGTCCACTCCAAGTCATGGGATGTTAATCTTTAAGTTTGACTCTTATACTGTGTTCTGAGGATCCAAACCAGGGCTTTGCACATGATAGGCGAGTTCCCTACCACTAACATCCCTCTCCCACTTTGAATGGAAATTCTATATATATATATATTATATATATTCTTTTTCCTTATTAAGAAATTTTCTACTCACTCCACATACCATGCACAGATCCCCCTCCTCCTTCCCACACCCCCTCAGCCCTTCTTCCCAAGCCACCCCGTATCCCCACATCCCCAAAATCGAAGTCTCCCAGAGGATCTGTTGAATGGAAATTCTGAAGGAAATAAAATTCTTGGATAAAGATTTCTTTACTAACTAGGATGCACTTAGCTTCCTTCACAAGCCACCAGAGGTTCAAGTTTAATATGTATATCAGAGCCTTTGCAATGTGATAGGGAAGAGGAAGAGGAAAGAAACAGCCATGTCGATACAACAGAGGGAAAATGGGACTTTTCGTTTGAGAGGAAGGAGTGTGATGGTGGTGAGGTAGCGAGGAAGGTTCTGGGACCTTCACTGGGTGAGGCAAGTGGGAATGAGGCTGTAGTAACTCCCTGTATGAGAAGATGTGGGCCCAAGACTCTGGGAGAACAAGTTTTGAAAGCCAGTAAGATCATTGGCAGCTGATGGCTGCTGTGGAAGGGAGAGTACTTTCTTTGGGGTTGTGGTCCCTGGTAGGATGGGCAAGACACAGTGGACAGTTCCACATCCATGTGCAGACTAATTACTAATTGGACTCAGTGGATTACACATAAACTTGAGAGATGTGCTGGGAGGGCCTAGGGACTGCAAAGTGGGGGAGTGGAGGTGGGCACAGGCATGATACATTGTATACACACATGAATTTTCAAAGGATAAAAGTATTTGAAAAATTAAAACAATATTATATATCATAAAAAACAAATTTAGATATACGTGAGAAAAGGATGAAAAAGTAAAATATTTCATTTTTTCTCATTCAGAACAAAGAAAATTTAGGATATAGGTTGTCACGATCTCTTTCTGCCCTCCACTTCTCTCTTTCTCTCCCTCCTCCTCCCTCCTTCCCTCCATCTCTCCATCTCTTGCACTCTGTCTATGGGTGTATACTCCATGGCTCTGCCTTTATCCTGGATCTATAGGTGTGTTGGTGCCTAGTTCCCTGTGAATGTGTTTAGATGTAACTGAGACATAGTTATGTAAGGTCTCAAACTTGGGAGATGACAGTTAAAGTCATTAGAGAGGAACTGTTGCCTTCTTTTCCTGCGGGCTCTGCAGGGCTCAGGTGGTTTCAAAACCCCAAACTTGAAACACAGAGTACTGAAAACCAGAACCCCAAACTTCAGATTGTGGTTACCAGGCAAAGCAAAATCTAACTCTTACACACTAGACATCCACCGTGGAGCACTAAGGTTCAGATTATTAGAATTAAAAATATAGCTGAAACACAGCCCTGTGAAGCTCTCACGGGGCCCGGCAAATCTGGTTCTTCAGGCTTCACTAAGGCGATTAGGAGAAAGTGTCCGTGGAGTTGAATTCTGCATCAAGGAAGAACAGCAGTACCAGGTGAAGAATGAACTGTCCTTTGTGCTTCCTCTCTGAAAGGCTAGAAAATCACAGGCAGAATGGATGGGGAAAAAAAAAAAACTTTAAATGTTCCAAGTTGGAAATATCTCCAAACTGGCACATTCTGCCACCACCTAGTCATGGGAAAGAGTTATTCAAGGGCCCTATGTGGGGCCTCTGTTTGTGACATGCTTTTCTTCCCGTGTTTAAAGTGAGTTTATTTGGCCAGTAAACAGTAAGCATTTTCTGGTTCCTAGCATATTTCTCTTTATTTCCTTATCTTTAAGGTCTTATGCATCTGGACTTCTTAATAATAAGATTCCTGAATTTCTTAACATTATCTCTAAAGTGACACAGTATCACAAATACAAGAATTTCCAAAAACAGGCATCTTGGTGTGAGGAGACATAATTGAGTAAGTGGCCCTGAGTAAGCTCATTCAAGAGAACCTGATTTGGGGCCTAGTAATTCTGAAAGTTGTTCTAATAATATACACCTTTGCACTAAGGAGGAATTTTTATGCATCAGAATGAGGAGAACACAGAAAGACACCACAGTACAAAGGAATGTGGTTTACAAAAGAATTTTGGGAAAGGAGACCAATTGACTAATAGATGCCAAATTCCAAGCATTATCCTTGGAAGTTGATTGATAAGGCTTAGTGTTTTATTTTATTTTTTAAATATTTTTACTTATTCTTGACAGCATATATATATATATATGACACACCCACATATACATGTATATATGTCACACATATATGTCACACACACACACACACACACACACACACACACACACACACACACACGTCTTAAGCATATGCACCCCTCACTCTTCCCTCTCTCTCCCCCTGGACCGCCTGTGCCTATAACATATCCTCCAATCCTTTCGTCTTCATGTCCCCTCTCTCCTCCTCACCCACTGAATCCTGATGAGTACTGGCCACGTGCACACAAGTGTGGGGCCATCCATGGATACGTGGACAGCTTTCCCTGGGACATACCTCCAAAGAAGATTCACTTTCCCTTTCTTAGCTGCCCATAGCTCCTCAGCTAGGATCAGGGATGTTGAGAACTCCACCTGCTTGCAATTTGAGGCTTCAAGGCAAAAGTTGTATAATTGGCTGCAAAATACCTTAAGGGTGACTCAAAGTCTCATGAGAGCCATTGTGAAAAAAAAAGTATGAATAATGTCATGAAAATATGTTACTCTAAGTGGGAATTATGCCAGCCCATCTACTTGTAATGGATAACAACTATCAATTGCAGGAAGGCAGAATTTTAAAAATGTAACTGTAGAGAGAAATTTTAGCATAGATGGGAAACATCCCATCAAATGGACAGTTCGTAGCATTTCTACTTACATAGTCTTTCTTTTAGAAGGGACAATTAGCCGGGCGGTGGTGGCTCACGCCTTTAATCCCAGCACTCGGGAGGCAGAGCCAGGCGGATCTCTGTGAGTTCGAGGCCAGCCTGGGCTACCAAGTGAGCTCCAGGAAAGGCGCAAAGCTACACAGAGAAACCCTGTCTCGAAAAAAAAAAAAAAAAAAAAAAAAAAAAAAAAAAAAGAAGGGACAATTAAAATCACTTTAATTTCGGAACAGCTTATTAGAATTGTTGCTATGCAGATGGCTTTAGAATTATCAGTTGAAAGTCAGACAGGCAGTGGAGGCATTCTTAGTATTTTGTTTGACTTTTGGATAAAGGGGGTACATGTAATAGTCTGAGTCTTTAGATTTGATGAGATTGAAAGTATACCTCACTTGGTTGGAAATAGAGTGCTGATTCTTCCCAAAGTGGCCCGAGCATTCCTGGACGAATGCTTGCTACCTTTGCATCAGAAAGCAAACTGTTTGGGAGAGGATTTGGAGCTATAATGAGGTTGGTCATGTAATTTTCACTTGGAGTATTGCCTAGTACGCCATCATCAGTGCTGGGTTATCACAGTGCTTGAGGGAGTACATAGAAAATATCCCAATACATTAGTGTTCAGGCGTGTTAACAGTGATTATAGCTGTCAGTGACAAACTCAGGTCTCATTTTACCAGCCGTGGGAATGAGATTGTCACTCTTTGGACATGGATATTAGACACATCAAACTTTTAGTTGGAGATCAGCTGCTTCCGTATCACTGCCTCATTAAAATTATGATTCAGAGGAGCTGAACCTTATGCACAAGGTTGGGAGATACTTATGACTCTAGAGGCGGCTGCATTGAAATCAATTTAGAATTTACTACTTGCACTAAATATACAGAGGCATGCAGATAGTGTGACTCAAAGGACTGTGACTTCCATGGTTCATACCACAGAAAATTTCCTTTAAGAGGCTGTTATGTGCGGCAGTTTTGCTAAATTTCATCCTTGCTGAAGATGCTGCAAAAGGCCCCTGGTTGAGGCACCAAAGCTTAGACAGCTTTTCCTAGAAAAGTCCTCACCATCTCAAAGCTTCCTTCTTGAATTTCTGTGTGAAAGGCATTCATCATTTCAGTGTGCTCCTGTAAGATGTGGTCATCACACCACTACACAGGCAGAAGGACTGATAAAAACACTGGTGTTCGTGTGCTGATTTGATTCAACCGATCTTAACCCTCACTGCCTGAGATGCCATCGTTTTTAAAAGAAAAAGAAATCAGCTCACACCTAAAGGTGGTGTGACAGTGAGCCCGGGTACATGCCAAAACACTTCCAATGATGTCTTACATTTCATTTTCAGACCTGCCTCCTCCTTTTATTTATTTATTTTATTACCAGCTCACAGTCCAATGGTGTCAGAAAGTGTTTGTTATAGTACCAGAATGTTCCATTGGAGGATAAGGCCCACTGTTTAAAATAAAAAAGTATCAATAGAAGGAATACATAGATGAGTTGTGCAAACAGGGTAATATGCATGGAAGATAAGGGAGAAATATGATAATAGATAAGAATGAATGCAGGTAAATGTATCAGGCGGGCAGGAAGACTACAAGAACACAGCTGCTTGTCCTCAGCATGAATTAGATGGAAAGAGAATGCACAATGAATGATTTTTCTACAGTACTTGAAAAATGATACTGGGAAAAGCAGTATTTTAAAAGGTAAAGGGCATTTTTTAAATGTCCTCAATGGGAGTTGATATTGAAAAGAAGGAATTTTTTTTAAATTTTAGTATATAAAATTGGAATTACAAAGTGGTCGTGTAACTGTATGCATAGATTATGGCATTTCG